ACATAACACATAACACACAACATAACATAACATAACATAACATAACACAACATAACATGTACTCACCCAAAATGCTGGAAAATTTTGTTACTGAAAACAAAATTTTAACATTAAGGGAAAAAATCTCAAAGTACTAAAAAGGTAAAGTTTTTTTATTTTATTTTTGCTCTATAAATAAAGGTTATAAATATAAATGTCAAGTAAAATCTAAATGCACTACAATAATATACAAAAATAATAAATGAATAAAATAAAATAAAGTAAATGTGTTCAATATAACACAACACAATAAAGTCGAATGAAAATAAATGACAATATAACTGAGAATTGCAGCCCTAAAGTGAAAACGCGGAAAAAAGTTTTAACGATCATCACTTATTGGCTGTCATGTTGGACCAAAATTTTCTTCAAGTCTTCTACAAGATAAAGTCTGAGAGTTAGCTTTAGCTAAGTTTTACTGTCACTACATTTCTGTTAGCTTTATGTGCAGTCACAGTGGTCTGTTTTTTCTTTTCTAGCAGCTATAAACCAAACGTATGGTATATTATTGTGTTACTAGATTTGGATCTTGCAGGACTTATCATATTGTAACTATTTGCACCAGCATGCTGAAGTGCGCTTCAGAGGCCCAGTGTTTGCTGTCATTAGGCATCAAAGCCACAAACCACATGATACATGACTGTTTGTGAAACTCACAAAAGTTGGGCCTTACTAGTGACCCAAAAGCAGTAGTCCCCACATATGACATTAACAAGAATACATGTGCATACTTACTGCTAGCTCCCAGGATTATGATCACAGTCAACAGGATCACGGCTGTCATAGCAGGAAATAACCAGCGTCTGAACCTAGAGACAGCCAACCGGGGGGTGGGTGGAGTCTCTGACAGACAAATAAAATTTCATAAATCAGAAGTCAAAACAAAGACATTACCAACTCAGACACAAGCAGTTACCACTGATCCAGAGCGCACTACCATCCTGGTCCTTCACATAATGGTATTGGTCCATTGTTGTCATCTGCTTGCTGTTTTTACTGGATAATAAAACCATGATAAAACTGAGTGAGTAAGTAACCAACAACTTCCACATTCAGCTGATTTTTATCAGCAACATGCTCAGTCTTAATTATGATAATATGAAAGCATAGTTTAAAAAAGGAAGAAAAAAAAGGAAAAAACTGGTTAAAAAAACACGAGTCAGGGTTGAATCCACTTTGAGGGTGTGGAAGATAAAAGTCAGGATGACTTCATTAAATATGCTATGAAGTTATCTGTTGCATCA